AAGAGAAAACTGACAAATTTGATTATATGGTCTATTGAATATACAAAGAGTATTTTTGACAGTCATTGACAAATTTGTAGAAGTTAAGGATCAAAACCAAAAATTGTAATGTTATTCATCACTCAGATCAAAATGCAGGCATAAGTTTTTTGTCCCTTTTCTCAAAAACAAAAAAATACAAAATATGACTAAGATCCCACCCATTACTTTTTTATTCTTGTTCTGTAATGTTTAATTTTTAATTGTTTTATTTTTTTTTTAATTGGCATAATTTTATATATAAAGTTCAATAAAAGGAAACATTCACTATCTGGGTTCCTTTCCTGGCTCGTCATATGCATTTCTTTCATCATTACTGAAAATAATTTTGTCATAGAGGAGAGTTTAAAAAGTGTAAGTGCCAAATGCACTAAAGTGTGACCCTGAGTCCCTGCAAACATTGAAAACAGAGAAGCTTTCCAATGGTAAAAAGCCCTGATTTGTTGTTTTTTAATCATAAGACCTGGCAGTAGTGGGCCCCACTTCCCTAAAGGCAACCAGCTGGAGTGCAGTAGGGGGCGGGGCTGCCCTCTTTAAAGGAACTTTTGGCCTCAAGCGTCTTCCTTCCCTGGGGTCACCAGATGCTGAGGCTACCCTGCTCTGATGGAAAGGAGGAGGAAGAGGAGGCTCTTTAAGGAAGATGTAACCGCGAAACCTAGCTATACACCAGGCCATCGGGAGTATCAGTGGTGGTGGTAGGTGCCTGGAACCGGTTCCGACTCACAGCAACAAGAGCCAAACGCTGCCCAGCCCCACGCCTTCCCCACCCTGTCAAGTCAGCCCATCGTCGCAGCCACTGCGTCAGTCCACCTCATGAGGGCCTTGCCCTCTTTGCTGACCCTCTACATCACCCAGCATGGTGTCCCTCTCCAGGGCCTGGTCCCTCCTCAGAACACGTCCAGAGCAGGTCAAGTGAAGTCTCTGCATCCCCACTCCTAAGGAGCACTCTGGTTGGACTTCCTCCGACACACATTTGTTCATTCCTCTAGCAGTCCACGGTACATGCAATATTCTTCACCAACACCACAGTTCAAAGGCATTGATTCTTGGGTCTTTCTTGGTGTTGAACCCTTCTGTGACCCATAGGACATACAGGGACCACCTACATTTCAAACCTCTGGGATTTAGTGGGAAGCTGCTTTCCTAGTTTTATTGCATGCTGGGGGGGGGGGGGGGGCTCTATAACTGCATGAATTTGAATAAACAGCCCTCATCCCACCAACTCCAGCACCAGAGACCTCTCGAGACACATGTGTCCCACTAAAAGGAGCTTTGGTGGCACAGTGCCTAAAGCATTTGACTGCTAACCCGAGGTTGGCGGTTTAAACCTATCAGCTGCTCCACGGAAGAAAGATGAGGCAGTCTACTTCTGTAAAGATTTATTGCCTTGGAAACCCAGGGGAGGTCGCTATGAGTCCGAATCCAGTCTATGGCTGTTGTCATTGTCAGGTGCTGTCAAATGGTCTCCAACTCACAGCCACCTCATGCACAGCAGAACGAAACACCGCCCGGTCCTGCGCCTGCCCCCCGGTCTTTGCTACACCTGAGCCCATCATTGCAGCCACTGTGTCCGTCCATCTCGTTGAGGGCCTTCCTCTTCTCCATTGTCCCTCCACCCTACCAAGCATGACATCCTTCTCCAG